AGACTCTCTGGTAATGCAATTCCATTCAACATAACCGTACGAAGACTCGAGTGATTGTGAGAAAAAATAGGGACCTTTGCCTTCGATTGCAAGAAAGAAGGATGTTTGCTTTTTGCGGTCGTACAATTCACACTTTGCCTCCGGACAGCCTTTGCTTTTGCCTTTGAACTGCGCTTGCCTTCAAAGTAGCCTTGCCTTTGACATCGAAGAAATTTTTTCAAAGAGCCCCCTGCCAATCGAAGGACCTTTGCTTTCAAAGTGCCTTTGCCTTCAAAGTGCCCATGCTATATAAAGCTTCAATCTACTCATCGCTTTAACCACTGCAACATCCTCCGACTTAGACTCTCTGGTAATGCAATTCCCTCCAACATAACCGTACGAAGACTCGAGTGATTGCGAGAAAAAAGGACGTTTGCTTTTTGCGGTCGTACAATTCACCCTTTGCCTTTGAACTGCTTTTGCCTTTGAACTGCGTTTGCCGTCAAAGTGCCCTTGCCTTTGACATCGAAGGACCTTTGCCCATCCGAATTGCCTTTGACTTCAAAGAGCCCCCTGCCATCGAAGACCTTTGCCTTCAAAGTGCCTTTGTGTCAAAGTGCCCTTTGCTATATAAAGCTTCAATCTACTCATCGCTTTAACCATTGCAACATCCTCCGAATTAGACTCTCTGGTAATGCAATTCCCTCCAACATAACCGTACGAAGACTCGAGTGATTGCGAGAAAAAAGGATGTTTGAACTTTGCCTTCGGACAGACTTTGCTTTTGCCTTTGTACTGCGCTTTGCCTTCAAAGTAGCCTTGCCTTTGACATCGAAGGACCTTTGCCTTCAAAGTGCCTCCTGCCATCGAAGGACCTTTGCCTTCAAAGAGCCCCCTGCCATCGAAGGACCTTTGCCTTCAAAGTGCCTTTGACATCGAAGAAGGACCTTTGCCTTCGATGGACCTTTGCCAAGATTCGAGTGATTGCGAGAAAAAAGGATGTTTGCTTTTTCCGTTCGTACAATTCACACTTTGCCATCGGACTGCCTTTGCTTTTGCCTTTGAACTGCGCTTTGCCTTCAAAGTAGCCTTGCCTTTGACATCGAAGGACCTTTCCCTTCAAAGTGCCTCCTGCCATCGAAGGACCTTTGCCTTCAAAGTGCCTTTTGCCATCGAAGGACCTTTTGCCTTCAAAGTGCCTTTGCCATCGAAGAAGGACCTTTGCCTTCAAAGAGCCCCCTGCCAACGAAGGACCATTGACTTCAAAGATCCCCCTGCCATCGAAGGACCTTTGCCTTCACAGTGCCTTTGCCTTCACAGTGCCTTTGCCATCGAAGGACCTTTGCCTTCAAAGTGCCTTTTGCCATCGAAGGACCTTTGCCTTCAAAGTGCCTTTGCCATCGAAGAAGGACCTTTGACTTCAAATAGCCCCCGCCATCGAAGGACCATTGACTTCAAAGATCCCCCTGCCATCGAAGGACCTTTGCCTTCAAAGTGCCTTTGCCATCGAAGAAGGACCTTTGCCTTCAAAGAGCCCTTGCTTCAAAGTGCTCTTGCTATATAAAGCTGCAATTTACCCTATCGCTTTAACCACTGCAGCATCCTCCGACTTAGACTCTCTGGTAATGCAATTCCCTCCAACATAACCGTACGAAGACTCGAGTGATTGTAAGAAAAAAGGATGTTTGCTTTTTGCGGTCGAACAATTCACCCTTTGCCTTTGAACTGCTTTTGCCTTTGAACTGCTTTTGCCTTTGAACTGCTTTTGCCGTCAAAGTGCCCTTGCCTTTGACATCGAACGACCTTTGCACATCGGAATGCCTTTGACTTCAAAGAGACCCTTGCCATCGAAGGACCTTTGACTTCAAACATCCCCCTGCCATCGAAGGGCCTTTGCCTTCAAAGTGCCTTTGCCATCGAAGGATCTTTGCCTTCAAAGTGCCTTTGACATCGAAGAAGGACCTTTGCCTTCTAAGAGCCCTTGTTTCAAAGTGCCCATGCTATATAAAGCTTCAATCTACTCATCGCTTTAACCACTGCAACATCCTACGACTTAGACTCTCTGGTAATGCAATTCCCTCCAACATAACCGTACGAAGGACTCGAGTGATTGCGAGAAAAAAGGATGTTGGTTTTTGTGGTCGTACAATTCACACTTTGCCTTCGGACACAGGCTTTGCTTTTGCCTTTTAACTGGGCTTTGCCTTCAAAGTAGCCCTTGCCTTTGACATCGAAAGGACCTTTGCCTTCAAAGAGCACCCTGCCATCGAAGGACCTTTGCCTTCAAAGATCCCCTTGCCATCGAAGGATCTTTGCCTTCAAAGTGCCTTTGACATCGAAGAAAGACCTTTGCCTTCAAAGAGCCTCCCTGCCATCGAAGGGCCTTTGCCTTCAAAGTGCCTTTGCCATCGAAGGATCTTTGCCTTCAAAGTGCCTTTGACATCGAAGAAGGACCTTTGCCTTCAAAGAGCCTCCCTGCCATCGAAGGACCTTTGCCTTCATCAAAGTGCTCCTGCTATATAAAGCTGCAATTTACTCCATCGCTTTAACCACTGCAACATCCTCCGACTTAGACTCTCTGGTAATGCAATTCCTTCCAACATAACGGTACGAAGACTCGAGTGATTGCGAGAAAAAGGATGTTTGCTTTTTGCGGTCGTACAATTCACACTTTGCCTTCGGACAGCCTTTGCTTTTGCCTTTGAACTGCGCTTTGCCTTCAAAGTAGCCTTGCCTTTGACATCGAAGGACCTTTGCCTTCAAAGAGCCCCCTGCCATCGAAGGACCTTTGCCTTCAAAGTGCCTTTGACATCGAAGAAGGACCTTTGCCTTCGATTGCGAGAAAGAAGGATGTTTGCTTTTTGCGATCGTACAATTCACACTTTGCCTTCGAACAGCCTTGCCTTTGCTTTTGCCTTTGAACTGCGCTTTGCCTTCAAAGTAGCCTTGCCTTTGACATCGAAGGACCTTTGCCTTCAAAGAGCCCCCTGCCATCGAAGGACCTTTGCCTTCAAAGTGCCTTTGCCATCGAAGGACCTTTGACTTCAAAGTGCCTTTGACATCGAAGAAGGACCTTTGCCTTCGATTTCGAGAAAGAAGGATGTTTGCTTTTAGCGGTCGTACAATTCACACTTTGCCTTCGGACAGCCTTTGCTTTTTCCTTTGAACTGCGCTTGCCTTCCAAGTAGCCTTGCCTTTGACATCGAAGAGCCCCCTGCCATCGAAGGACCTTTGCCTTCAAAGTGCCTTTGCCATCGAAGGACCTTTGCCTCCAAAGTGCCTTTGACATCGAAGGTGGACCTTTGCCTTCAAAGAGCCCTTGCTTCAAAGTGCCCATGCTATATAAAGCTTCAATCTACTCATTGCTTTAACCACTGCAACATCCTCCGACTTAGACTGTCTGGTAATGCAATTCCCTCCAACATAACAGTACGAAGACTCGAGTGATTGTGAGAAAAAAGGATGTTTGCTTTTTGCGTTCGTACAATTCACACTTTGCCTTCGGACAGCCTTTGCTTTTGCCTTTGAACTGCGCTTTGCCTTCAAAGTAGCCTTGCCTTTGACATCGAAGGACCTTTGCCTTCAAAGAGCCCCCTGCCATCGAAGGACCTTTGCCTTCAAAGTGCCTTTGCCATCGAAGGACCTTTGACTTCAAAGTGCCTTTGACATCGAAGAAGGACCTTTGCCTTCGATTTCGAGAAAGAAGGATGTTTGCTTTTAGCGGTCGTACAATTCACACTTTGCCTTCGGACAGCCTTTGCTTTTTCCTTTGAACTGCGCTTGCCTTCCAAGTAGCCTTGCCTTTGACATCGAAGAGCCCCCTGCCATCGAAGGACCTTTGCCTTCAAAGTGCCTTTGCCATCGAAGGACCTTTGCCTCCAAAGTGCCTTTGACATCGAAGGTGGACCTTTGCCTTCAAAGAGCCCTTGCTTCAAAGTGCCCATGCTATATAAAGCTTCAATCTACTCATTGCTTTAACCACTGCAACATCCTCCGACTTAGACTGTCTGGTAATGCAATTCCCTCCAACATAACAGTACGAAGACTCGAGTGATTGTGAGAAAAAAGGATGTTTGCTTTTTGCGTTCGTACAATTCACACTTTGCCTTCGGACAGCCTTTGCTTTTGCCTTTGAACTGCGCTTTGCCTTCAAAGTAGCCTTGCCTTTGACATCGAAGGACCTTTGCCTTCAAAGAGCCCCCTGCCATCGAAGGACCTTTGCCTTCAAAGTGCCTTTGCCATCGAAGGACCTTTGCCTTCAAAGTGCCTTTGATATCGAAGAAAGACCTTTGCCTTCAAAGAGCCTTCCCTGCCATCGAAGGACCTTTGCCTTCATCAAAGTGCTCTTGCTGTATAAAGCTGCAATTTTCTCCATCGCTTTAATCACTGCAGCATCCTCCGACTTAGAATCTCTGGTAATGCAATTCCCTCCAACATAACCGTACGAAGAGTAGAGTGATTGTGAGAAAAAAGGATGTTTGCTTTTTGCGGTCGAACAATTCACCCTTTGCCTTTGAACTGCGTTTGCCCTCAAGGTGCCCTTGCCTTTGACATCGAACGACCTTTGCACATCGGAATGCCTTTGACTTCAAAGAGACCCTTGCCATCGAAGGACCGTTGACTTCAAAGATCCCCCTGCCATCGAAGGGCCTTTGCCATCGAAGGATCTTTGCCTTCAAAGTGCCTTTGACATCGAAGAAGGACCTTTGCCTTCATTAAAGTGCTCCTGCTATATAAAGCTGCAATTTACTCCATCGCTTTAACCACTGCAACTGTCGAGAATTATGCATAGTTTGTTAAAGGACACTATAGTTAATCTTATATGACTTTTAAGCGTAGTATTTGCTTGCGCTTGCGCGTTAGTGCTGGCCTTACGAACACGTTTTTAGATTCGTAACATTCATATAAAACGACCGTTTTGGACCATAGTTTTGGGACTTTATGTTAGTTATGTCTTGTATTAAGATGTCAAATATATTCATATAAACAATCCACATTTTGGTGCCGTGACCAGTTGTATTATGGAAGAATTACAAAGACTTCGAGCGTCCCGAAAAGCTTATCGAGCACACCTCACAACACTTTACAAGAAGATTATAGAATTGAAATCCGCCACGACTATCGATGAACTTCACATTGCCACGCTCGAAAACTATTGTCAACAACTCAAAAGAAAGAAAGACATCTTATCACCACTCGATGAACAAATTGCGAAAGCTATCACCAAACCCGAAGACCTTGAATGTGAGATGACCTTGAAATGCACAGCACAATCGACGAAAGGTACAGTGAACTTACCACATTTATTGAGATAAAACGTAACGAATTAAAGCTTAAAGTTACTGTACAATCATCCAATAACACTAATGAGTCATCCCCAGAAACCTCACCCCAATCAGAACAGCCTATTCAACAGGAAAATATCCATCAACCAGAAATGAGTCAAAGCCCAGTTGGACCCAATTCCCAAACAGAGGAAACCTCAGCTTCCAACAACACTATTCAAAATCAAACACTGATAAATAACAATAACAATGGTGCCAGTGCCAGTGGTTCTTATCCATCAGTTAGTCGACTGCCAAAGTTATCCCTACCTACATTTTCTGGGGACCCCATTGCCTGGCAAAACTTCTGGGACTCGTTTAAGACAACCATCCATTTAAACCATACACTGCATGATGTTCAAAAATTCAACTATCTAAAGGCTCAACTTACAGGCGATGCAGCTAGAGTTATAGCAGGTTTCCCTATCACAAGTGCCAACTACAAACATTCAATTGATCTCCTAATTGAGCGTTTTGGTCAACAACAAAAGATTGTCAATGCACACATGCAACGTTTGCTTGACCTACCCAAACCCGACACAGGGCTCATAAGTCTTCAGCTTTTCTACGACACAATAGAGAACCACATCCGAGGCCTTGCCTCACTTGGCCAGTCAAAAGATTCCTATGGGGCCCTTCTTATACCAATAATTTTGGGGAAATTACCAGCTGAAGTTAGGCGAAACCTAGCCCGAGAACATCACACCTTAGAATGGTCAATTGACCAACTGCGAGATGCCCTCCTTAAAGAAATCAAGATCCTTGAAGCTGGTCTGCACATAGACAAAACTAAATCAGAGCTTAGTCCTGCCCACACTGCTACAGCTGCATTTCATACTGGTTCATGGGGGGACAACAATACTCAGAAAAGAAATCAAGGTGACAAGACCCCACACTGTGCATACTGTAAGGGTACACATTCCTCACTTCGGTGCGAAGTAGTGACTGATCCAGAAAAACGATTGACGATTATTAAACAAGCAAACTTGTGTTTTAATTGCCTTGGACACCACAAGGTGTCACAGTGTCGATCCAAATATCGTTGCAGAACATGTACACGCAAACATCACACCAGCTTGTGCAAACCTCAGAAACCACCCATCAAAGATCCCCCAGAACGGGCAAACGAGGAACAAGGGGAAAAATCTGTCCACACCACACTAATCCCTGCGGCCCCAACATCAATCGTAAACACTCAAGGAAACGAAACTACTATTTGTTTACTGAAAACCGCTATTAGTACTGTCTCCTTAGCTAACCAAAGAGCTGTTGCAAACATTTTGTTTGACGAGGGAGCCCAGTGCTCTTTTATCACCCGTGAATTAGCCGACAAGCTTCACGCATGTCCCCAACAAACTAAAGATATCCAGATTTCAACATTTGGGGGAGAACAACCAACCAGTCACACATTAGAAACCGTTACCATCAACATCGAAAGCATCACAAGTGAGAAAATACCAGTTAGTGTTTTGGTCGTTCCAAAGATTGCCACACCTTTGCAAAATCGTATTCGCACCAACGTCCGGACTCTCCCATACCTAAAGGGAATCCCACTCGCCCACCCAATCACCTCAGACGAGAAATTTGAAGTCTCGCTCTTGATTGGAGCAAATTACTACTGGGAAATAGTCCAAGACCATATTATCAGAGGAGCTGGTCCAACAGCTATGGAGTCTAAACTTGGATATCTGCTATCGGGACCCTTATCCCTGGGAGAAGCCCCATCAAACACCACCATATTAAATGTCATTACCATGCCTCATCATCAAGTAGAGAGCATAGACCCCAATCGGTTTTGGGATCCACCACCCTTAGATTTGTTAATGACCCCCACAGAAACCAACGACCAGACTGCGATTGGGAACTTCAAGGAAACTAACATCACTCGCTCTCCTGATGGCACTTATTGTGCAAGATTTCCATGGAGGACTGAGCATCGCCCACTACCATCCAACTACGCTGTATGTGCGAAGAGAACACGACTTCTAGCTCGTCGCCTTGGACAGGACCCCAAACTTTTGAAGACCTATAGCGACATCATTGCAGAACAAGAAGAGAAAGCATTCATTGAAAAGGTGTCTACGACCAACATGTCAGATAAGATCCACTACATTCCCCACCATCCTGTAAAAAAGGACTCTACCACCACACCTATTCGCATTGTATATGACTGTAGCTGCCGCCAGTCAACAGACCACCCAAGTTTGAATGATTGTCTTCTGCCAGGGCCACCATCGCTAAATGATATGTGTTCAATTCTTCTGCGCTTTCAAACCCACCCATTTGCATTTTCCACCGATATAGAGAAGGCATTTTTACATGTTCAACTCCACGAAGATGACAGAGACTGTACCCGTTTCCTGTGGCTTTCCCAACCTGATGATCCCGAAAGCGTGTTTCAAGCCTACCGATTCAAAGTTGTGTTGTTTGGTGCTACATGCTCACCATTAATGCTCAGCTCAGCACTTGAATCCCACCTCGACCAATACAGTTCAAAGATTGCTACCGACATGAAAGAAAACCTATATGTTGATAATCTCATTTCCGGACAGCCCACCGAAAATGATGTCACCCACTATTACAAGTTGGCGCGATCCATTATGTCCTCTGGTAACTTCAACCTTCGAGCTTGGGCATCCAACAGTCCACAACTTCAGAGCCTCTGTCTACAAGAAGGAACTGCTGATACTAAAACTACTGTTAATGTTCTCGGCCTCCAGTGGAATACGTTGACAGACACTTTGTCCCTCACCCCTAAGCACATCTCCCCCTCCCTCAACTTACCGACCAAAAGAGAAGTCCTCAGCAATTCCTCGAAGATCTATGACCCACAGGGCCTGTTATCCCCGGTTACTATTAGAGCTAAGTTACTCATGCAAGAATTGTGGCTACAAAATATCGAATGGGACGAACCACTTTCACAAGAACTGAGCGAGAAGTGGTTAAGCATAGCCGAAGATATCGACATTGTTTCAGAGACCATGAACGTTCCGAGATGCCCCATCACAATCAATCCTAACAATACCAAGCCCGAGCTCCTTGTCTTCTCGGATGCAAGTATAAAGGCCTATGGCGCCGTTGCATATCTCCGACACGGTCCGCAAATCGCAATTCGTGTGGCTAGAACACGTGTTGCACCCCTGAAGAAACTAACCCTACCTAGACTCGAGCTTATGGGTGCTGTCACCGCCGCACAGTTGGCCAGCTATGTCAAGAACGCACTTGCTACAACTACCATGTACAGTGACCTCACTGTGAGACTTTGGAGGGACAGTCAAATAGTCTTACATTGGTTGTCCAGCAACAAACGTCTAAGCCAGTTCATCACAAACCGTGTTCAAACAATCAAAGATCTACTTCCCAAAGCAACATGGGGATATTGTCCAACCAACGATAACCCGGCGGATCTACTTACGAGAGGCTTAAGTGCAACCCAACTTTGTTCTTCAGTTCTTTGGAAACAGGGTCCACCTTGGTTAACGTGCGAGTCCAAGTGGCCGACGTGGTCCTCAACCGACTTATCCCCTACTCTGACACTAGCAATTTCATCAGAAGAAATCAACCACAACGCAACCGAAAGAGACAGCATTCCCACGGAACATCGCCAACCCGGAATACACCGTATCATTGACAT